CATCTCCCTCAGCTCCCCGGTAAACCAGGGAGCCAGTCGAGATCTACGTCGGGTCAGAGGCCGCAAAGGCACGACTCGGTCCAATGCAGCGGCGGCAGTTGTCTCCCAAGCCGCCGCCTGGTTTTCCGCCGAGTCGTGGACCAGATCCTCCGGATATGGCCCAAGCTCCGTCAGGAACCTTTCAGGGTCCATCAGTCGCATGGGACGGAACCATCTAGGCGGTTCCGTCTCCCTGCGGCGAGGGGGCGCGGTCCGGAAGTCCATCCTTAGGAGCGAATGGTCTGACCATGACAATGGTCTGACCATGACGTTGGCTAGAGCTGAGGTGAGGATGGGAACTCACCTCATCATGAGCACTCAGGTCTTGAACATGGGCTGCTGGCTTTCCAGCCAACAAGCCCAGGTCTTAACCACTGAGCCACTGTGCCACCCCTTTAGAAACTAGAGAAACCAGAAAAAACTAAAGATTACAATTAAAGAAAAATACTTACATTTGACTTACTAATACAGAATGGAGCCAGAAACTTTAATATTTGACGTATTGACGGGTATTTTTGAACAATTAACCCAGAAGTTAATTGTAAAAGAGACTCAAAGAGATTCATTAGAGATAGATCAAGTTTGAAAGATGTCATGGAACACGTTTTACTGGATAAAACAGAAACTGATCTGAAAGTGGATGTAAAAAAGATAGGCCACAAGAATGATATGGAAAAAGATGCTGTATTGTGTATACAAATGAAATTGGGATATTAATAATAATTAAAAAGGATATACAAGTAGATCAAAAGAGTGATAACTTTTCTATATTGGATTTACAAAAGAGATTTCTGAAAGATTCAAAAACTTTTGAGAAAACAAATTAAAAAAATGAAATAAAGATCTAAGACATTATCTGAAGCTTTTATTTACATTGTTTTTATTTCTTAATTGTTATTTCAAATTGTTATTTCAAGATTGTTAAAAATAAAAGGAAAGATATAAAGTTGGTTTATTTGATCAAGATTAAATTAGATGTTAAAATAGATCAGGACTGAATGACAACAAGGCTTTAAGCATCTGTTTATAGATAAGAGATGATATATCAGAAGATGTTTGTCATTTGTTATATTCTTATTTTCTTTCTTTTCTATGTTTTTTTTAATTCTTTCTTAGTTTTTTACATTTAATGGTAAAGTTTAATAACATTAAAAAAATAATCATATCCTTACTAAGTGCATTTCATTTCCTTCAATCCATTGGCTCCAACCACGGTCTTCTTTTTCTCCTTTCTGCACACAAAGAAGTTTATCTCCATCCCATGTCACACGTGTCTAATTAAAAAAAAATCCAATTCAAACCAACCAACAAAAATAAACTGTAAAATATATTATTCTCACCCTTTCTTAAGTACCTTTAGGAAATAAAATTCAATATTTAATTTTAGGAGTTACAGCATCTTTAATAAAGATTGTATTAAAAATGAAAACTCTTTTCCCAACAGGATTATTGTTCTAAGATATATAAACTTCCTTTAACCCCATAAAAATAAAAATAAGTATTCAAATTAGATATTATCGAGTACAGTTTTTAATACTTTTCTTATATACATGTAATACCCCCTTATTTAAAAATGATAAAAAAATAAGACTTGGTGAATTGTTGTTTTCTGAATAAACAGGAAATAGGCAGGCAATGGGAGATGATTTCTTGATATCTGAAATTTAATTTGGTCTAAGTAATTAAAAAAATCATTTAAATTGATTTAAAATTAAAAATACTTGATAATATGTCATTTCAATCATATGATTAATCAATATTCCATTTCTACTCCATAAAAATTACAAACTGATAATAGTTTTGGGGAATATTCAGAACCTGTACTTATGCATTTCTAGGCTCATACATCTGCAGTAATCCAAGATTATTTCAAAATGTTGACAAGTGTGTGGGGATGTTATACTATATATTCCACCTTTATATACTACATTTGTATTTCAAATTCTGACACAACTACAGAAATCATGGATTTTACATAATAATTTCATGAAACATGTTTTGTCTTTTTACACCCAAAGTGTACCACATATGTGTACTATAAGTTAGATAAATATCTCTGGCAAAATACTTCTTCTTTTTTTTTAAAAAGAAACACATTTAGAAAATATTTTCCTGCACTCTCTAAAATAAATCTAAATCAAAGTCACACAGTGCATGGACCATGGAAACTAGATAAAAAATGCTTGAGTGTCAACAATTTAATGTACATCGTTCTGAAACTTTTGAAACAGTATCAAAGAATATATGTGAAAAAACAAATACATATATTAGGACAACATGTTACATTCATAAACTAATTCTACATTTTAGTTTATCCTACTAAATCCAGAAGCTATTTTATTTTAGCATATAGGCCCTGTATAAAATAAGATGGCATGGATCTGAAGCTTAGTTTAGAAAGTTTGAACATGTTACATTTGCACATTTACTAATAATCTTCAGTGTTTTAAAACTCTGAAATGTTTCTTAAGATTTTATGGTATTCTCTATAGAAGACATAAAAGAGTCAGAACAATCAACAGCACATTTGTTTTCATCTAGGTTACCTAAATTATTATTTCCAAATCAGATGAGAATAAAATTTCCTATAGGTCCATTTAAAAAAGGGCATTCTTTCAGTGGAGAGTTCCCTATTATTAAAAAAGGGCATTCTTTCAGTGGAGAGTTCCCTAATATGTTGGATGGATTACTTTATGAAATTAGCAAAATAATCCATATGATAGTCTAAGGGTCACAAAAGTATCTCCTAAATGCATTTTTAAAAGAAAAAAAGGAACTCAAATTGCAATTTTGTTGCAGACCAGTGCCAATGAAATATCTCAGTCCCTGTATTTTCAAAGACAGCTTTTCACACATTCAGTAGACAGTCATCAACTAATAAATTACTTCATGAAAATGAAATGAGGAATATTTTAGCTAAGTATTTATATTTTAAAGGCAGCAGTGGTGTTCTCTTTCCATGTTGATGTCTTAACTACAAGCCAAATTAATCTTTTACAATGTTATTCTTGAGCTGTTAACAATTAAGGATATGGAAAAGTATTATATCTTCTTTTAATAGGCTGATGAGGAAATTATTTTAAATGATGTATGATGTTTAAATTAGATTTGGTTTTAATCTGTTTGCAAAAAGTGCATTTAAAAACAATAATCCTGAAAGTGGAAAAATAATTTATTTTTATTTTCAAGCTGCCATATGTGAAATAAAAATAAAATAGCATTAAATCAATAATCCGTAACGCAATAATCCGTAAATTGATTAATTTATTTTAGGTACTAGAACTATTATCTGGGCACTCCCCCGTTTTTTTGACTGAAGCTATTTCTGAAAAATAGCTTAAAATAATACATCTTTTAGAGAGTCACATAGTACAGATTTAGTGCAGTAAATCCATGGGGAAGGGAGAGGGAGAAGGAGGGAGGGAAAGAGAGAGATTCAATAATGCCTGTTTAATGTATGGATTTCATGGATCCGTCGAAAAGTCAAAGAAGGCTTTCTACCAGTAGAGGGAACTCTCATCCAGTATTTGTAAATTGAATAGAGCACCAGCTGACCTTGGAAAACTACAATAATTTTGATGGTTCTCTTTCATTAGTTCTTCCTTTTTAACAATTTAATATGGCTTTGGAAAAACATAAATTCTAACCTATGATGCATTTTATTCTATTATTTAATAGTATGTTGTTTTCAGGTGGTCCCGGTGGATCAGTGCCACCAAGTTCTAACAAGTGGCTAATTTCTGTTCACTTCACTGAGTGTACAAAACCTAAGAAATGCTTCCAAAATAAAACATTACTTTAATTCTCCAATAATTTTGTTTCAAACATAGAATCAGATGATGTCTTTAATTTATAGTCTCTCCATATAAGATCCCACTGCCTTTCCCACATTATTTTTTTAATCTGTGAAGAAGAGGTACACAATGTGTTTTGATAATTCATAAATAATTCATTAATAAAATTCAGCCCTCTGTCCTAAGCATTTTTGTTCTACCAGCAGTTGTAGTTCTGGTTTGAAGGTGAGATTCTCCTACCGAAAACTCCATGCTGTCTCCTCCTTAAAACTTAAATTGTCACTGCTGAACATGCTAATATCAATGAATGATCTCCTTTGGAAAAGAACTTTCATAGGGTTAGGGTCAAAAGAAATGAAATTGAATGGAGTTTGATTGCTTGGTTTATTCTGGCCTGTCACTTATGCCCGAAGTTCCCATAAATCACAGAAATGTTAGCTTCTATTTTGTCCAACTGACCAGCCAACTTAGATTCTTCTTGCATTGGCGTATGTTCACATACACAAGGATTCACTAAGCAAACGTACACCTCATTATCATTGATAGTTTTACCATATGTAGAATAATAAAAATAGTTATGTGCTTAAGTGTTTGTAATGTTTTGCTAAATAGTATAATACCAGTGTATCATGGTTGCACTCCTAATCATACATTCTTTTTTGGTATCAGTGAGGTTGTTTCACAATATATAGTTTTAGAATTCAAATATAGACCAATTCTGTGTAAGATTGTGGACCAGTTTAGATGTCAAATGTATGTCACATCCCCTGATTGTACCATTGTATTACTTTCTGCATACTCCATAGCATTATTACTTGCTTTTCCCATTTACAGTCCTGCCTTCATAGGAATTTGAGAAATCAAGTGTTCTCCTGGCCTTTAATTCTTTCCAAACCTTTTCCTTAAAATGCATATAAAGCGATCATAGCTGTGTCAGCCCATTTTAAAACAAATGTAATTCTGTTACTGGCAAATACCTTTAACTGACAAAATGACACAAAAGAAAGTAAAAATGTTGTAGTTATCTAAACTCTTCCTTAGACATAATAGCAGTAAATTAAGAAATGGGGAAATGTAGGGGGAAAAAGCAAATACATAAAAGCCTTGGCTATAGAAGGGGCGTTGTCTTACCTGAACGCCTTTTCTCAGCACGGAGATGGAGGATCCACCCATGGGTAGTAGACTGTATTCCTGCCCAATCAGATTAAGTCAGCCAAAGTTGCCACGCCCGTCCTGGACCCTAGATTCCAGTCTTGACGCGAGCGAAGCCATTGACTGACATAGGACGTACTGGCTCAGAAACTAAAC